CCAAAAGGGTGGTACTTTAATTGCTACTTTAAAAATTTCAGATGACATACCGTCTCTTACTGTAGATGTAGTGCTGCTCTCTGTCATATTTTATCTTCCAAATTTTCCAAATAAAAATGTTCAATAGGGTGTCACCAGTGTGGTTAGGTTGGCGTGTTGATATACAGAAGGAGTAATATTAATAAAAGATTGAATATATGACGGTGTATATAATATCAGAATTAAAAATAACAAATAATAATTAATTTAACAACTTATTTAGATCAGTAATTTGCAAGCGAATGAATTTGACATTTTGACAATATACTTTTTATTAAAATGTGTTTGTGTTATATGGCTAGTTTATGCAAGGAGGTTGGTAGCCTACATACCTATACTAAGTATACTTTCAATAACATTAAATAATTAAATAAACTGAATTACCTACATATTAAAGTAATTGAATACAAATTAAATTTCATTCTAAAACATTAAACTTATAATGAATGTTAAATTTTTAATAAGTACCTACTCATTTTGATTAAAAAAGCTACAGCTCAGTTACATTTTTACCTATTCTTTTCAGCTGAATCAATTGAAATGAGGCTATCAGTCGTAAAAATGTACATTAAAAAAATAAGTACTTCACCAATGAGTTCATTTAAACGAAAATTATTTCGATAATTACTATTGCAGTGTCACTCGTAATTACGCTAAAAATTATTTAGTGTTTAGCTATTCAGCCAAAAGAATGTTCAAAAAGATTTTTTATCGTGATCGTCAATATCCAGAACTGTAGACACAAAAGCAAAGATCCTATTCATTATTTAGTGTAGGTGTAACCTACCAAGTGTATCGAGATCCTTATCGATACCAACTTTACAATACAATAGGATCACAAGAGTTTTCAACTTGTGTAGGGTTCTGTTGAACAGATTCACCGCACCTTTTTATAGAAACGTTTTCTCTACAAAAAATTGAAATCATAATTATTAACTTTTATACCCAATTTTTAAAAGTAAATATATCTAGTTTAATGTACCTAGTAGTACCTACAATGATTAATATTATAATACTTAGTTATATTGATGATTGTTGCCAAAGAGTTTGTGTTTAATTATTATTAATTTGTTTATCAATAAATTTACAATATAGAGAGATATAATTTGTATGTATATAAACGATCTATCTTAAGGGCTTCGTCCTGTCCGACCAACGGCGAAAAGCTTAATTTTGAATAAAATAGGAGGAGAATAATACTTATATTATCATTAATATTTGCAAATCCCCACAATTCCGCAATGATGAAGATTTATCTGAACATTTTTGTGACATAATACAAAATAAAGGTAACGACCAAAGAATAGGCTCTAATACAGCACAAAGATCCTCGTGGACTGAAACCTGTATTTATGACCGACTATGACTACAAATCTTGTCCTATGGACAGAACCGCAAAAATAAAAAATAGTGGTTATCTAAAAGTGGACCTTTTTCCATTGCCATAAAATTCTTTTAGGTATATCAAATTTCCGGCGAAAGTCATCGTAGATTGGCAATCCTATTAGCTAAGTCTGTACATAACTTGAACTTAGAAGTTTTGAGGCATCGTAACACTTTATGCATACCTACCATACCAGTCAAAAAGCTCTCTCTATATACCCATTATGAATTCGTAATAGGTGAACTCATATTACGTGTATTTACATAAAATATTTAATTCTAAGATAAAAGATGCCCACGATGTTACATATTTTCAACATTTTGTTATACCTACTCGTATCGGTTATACTACCAAAATGTTTATACTATGTAGGTAGGTACGTACTATTTCATATTCTCTTATGCATCGACACTTTTCAAACAAGTTTGGTTGTGGCTTATTTTTGTTTTCGTAATAAAACTATTCTTTATATACATGTCGCAGGTATACTAGGTAGGTATCTAATAATTAGGGAAATAGGAAAATATAGATGCTATTTTAAGTTCTTTATGGCAGACTTCGAAATCTTGTAGTAAGTATATATACATACATTATGTAACCTATATAGGTAGCTTTCTACCAAGTTGGAGACCGCCATCACATAAACCGAAACAGTAACTGTCCGTAAACAAGTCTTAACAAAGTTGTGCGGTTAAGTTGTAGACAGTCTCTTTAGTGTTTCGTACAATTCTATTGTTAAGCATGAATAGCTAACCCGAGATAATGTTAAGTACTTTTATTTATTGACGTTAAAGAACAATTCCCATTTAAGCTTAAAATAATTATAAAGGAAGATTGAAACTCGTTTGTTTTAATAAAAAAATACATGATGTTGATAGTAGCTAAGCACCGTCGGAAATAAATAAATTGCGTAAAACAATCAAAACACAACAGAAAACCACAAATAAAATTCAAACTTTATTATAATTAAAGTCTTATAAATTATCTTTTAAGTTTTAAAGTTAATTATTGTTTTTAAGTTATTTTTTTATACAGCCCTTCACACAAAGTACGGTTCGCAATTTTAATCCGTTCATAATTTAAAAATTCTATATTGTAATATGTCTCAAATGAGAATAATTAGAAACAGTGTTGCACATTTAAAATCTTGAATACAGCTATACTTGGGCAAGCATTTATTATAAAAGCAGGGGAAAATTAGCTGATCTTGAAGAAAAAATAGATTTAAAACATTCCAGAACATTTAAAAAGAATCTCTCAAATAAGGAAAAAAGAAACATTTTAAGGAACGCTTGTAATATAACATTTTGTTAATGTTTTGTATTGTTATTATTATCTAAGATTATACAACAAGAACAAGCTGGAAGCCAAGACAACGAAAAACACAGGAGAACAATGGCCTCTTTGTTGGTTAACGGCAAAAGGGACAATACTAATGTGTCCCGCATCCTAGTGGATGAAGCCCTTATGAACCACTTTGGGGCCATAGTGCTAGCAGCAGAAATGGCCAAAGCAAAAGATGTCCTGCTTATTGGCGACATAAATCAACTCCCCTTTATAGATAGGCATAACCTATTTGAAATTACCTACGAGCGATCTAACAAATCAGCAGGTATTACTAGGGAGTTTCTATGTACTCACAGAAACCCCTTGGATGTAGCGTATGCCCTGAGAGAAGTATACAACGGGATATACTCGACCAACCTCCGGACTAGGTCGCTGAGGCTCATGGAATACGACAGCAAAGTCATACCATCGGACCAAAGCAGGACTCTATACCTGGTTCATACCCAAGCGGAGAAAGCAAAGCTAATATCCGAGGGATATGGAATGGACGAGGAGTCTAAAGTGCTGACGATTCATGAGGCCCAGGGACTGACATCGGAGAGGGTTATTATCATCAATACTAGAAGTAAACCCTTGGAAGTGCATGGCAGCTACTCTCATGCCGTGGTAGCCATCACCAGGCACACAGGCGACTGCGTATATTATACGAGAAATCGAGAAGACGCAGTTGCTCGTTTTATACAAGAGGCCGAAGGCGCGACTCACTCGAACATTCGTGAGTACTCACTGCAGATGGCGATTAAAAATAGAGACAGGGCGATCGTTGATGCGCTGATTGCGCTAAAATAATCAGCACATAGAAAACCGGAACAGCTGATGCATCGTCGGGCGCTTTGGACTGGAAAGGCCAGAACATGCTCGCTAAAAGTATAATAAAAAAAGAAAAAAAAGAAAAAAAAAAGGGAAAGGGAAGTGAAAAAGGGAAAAAAAAAATTGCCGAATTACGACAAAAAGTGAACTGTGAAAATAAACAATCAATAATTAAACAAAACCTGGACTATAACAAATAGTGAACTTTGAAAATAGTGTTAAAATAAGATTTTATATAATTGTATATGCAGTGTAAGAATTCATAATGTGTATTGTTACATTATGAATTCTTACATTTCACAATGTAATGAAAACTGTGAAACTAGTAGTAGTGTAAGATTTATATAATTGTATATGCATATTGGTAAATCTAATCCTCCAAATAAAGATGGGTGACACTGCATGTTGTCAACTCACCCGGCCGGCCAGCGGTGGTTCTGGGCCAGACGGATAAGGTCTGCCTCGGTGTCACTGTTAGGCAAATTGTAACATCTCGGCTGGAGTTGTACAAAAATGGAAATTAAATAAATATTATAATATTAAAATAAATTAAAAAAGGCACGGACGAATATGTCTGTGGAAAAATGTATTTAAATATAAAAAAAAAATTATCTAAGATTATGTAATTTGTATTTGAAAAAGCCTTTGATTATGTAATATTATTTTTTATCTAATCTTATTTAAAAAAAAAAAAAAGACATTTTGTAATTTCATGTCAATGAAAGTACAAAATGTCAAAAAGAAAAAAAAGGTGGTGAGATTAAACTTGAAAAGTAATGTGTTCTACGCCATCCATACAATTAATATATCACTAGCTGTTACCCCGACTTCTACCGCGTGAAATTAATTTTATTCTTATTAAAATAAAAGTACCCTAAGTACTCCTTATAGCATTAGCTAACTGCGAGTGAAAGTCCCATCAAATTCGGTCCTATCGTTTCAGTCATTAGCAACACTAACGACATTTTTTTTTTCAAATGTTTATCGTATATATTTTCATTTAGTGAAAAGCTGTTAATTAGAAATTATAAACACCCACTTCAATTCATTTGTAACGAATACAGTGTAGATACATATTATCATGACTATCTTAGTTACTATAATGTGTTATTTCAGATATCTTTAAACGTAAGATATTGTGTATACAAGAATTATTCTTTAACATAAACCATAAATATTACATTGTTATCACTCAATTTGCTATCTAATAATATAAATAAAAGAATAGATATTTAATAATAAAATTACTTTAAAAGTTTAAGCAGATTCAATTTCCAGTTCCGGATATGTTTTAAAAAAACCTGTGAACTTCAACTTTCTTATACACAGTCATTGCCACAGCAACGACTTTTTTGTAGTATTATTGATGAAAAAGAAAATAATTGCAGGATATTTTTTAAATAAATTCTTTATTCTCTAATAAGGCACAAACATTATATCTAACTTTTAGTTTTTACTTTTAATTGTATATCTATAACAACTTGTTTCTTGAATAAGCTAATTAAATCATCTCTAATATGGGATTTAATTTGTTGTAATCTACCACCACCAGCACCACTTATTAATTTGGCTATTCTCTCAGATGGACATTCTACAGCCACTGAACTTACGATCCTATCTTCTATTTCATCATCATAATATTCCAACTGGGTTTTAAGACTGTATGGAATTTCTTGAGACAGGAAATCCAAGAATTTTGCTCTGACAGCATCTTCTATAAGTGATTCTGGTGTTTGATCCGTCCAATCGGTTGGAGAATAGTGTAAACTAGCTGGTTTTGCATTGCCTATGAGATAATCCTGAAACAAAATCGGGTCTTCTATTTTAATTTTGCAAAATGAAAATGCTTACTCACATGCACATGGTAAAAGCAAACATACAACTACATGGGCAACTATTGCCCATTACTAGACTAGCTTATTACAGCGTTTTCGTTCTCTATGCGCTAAACTGTCATACACCAAAAAAACACAGCATAAGAACTTAATGGTGAACGCTACCAGAACTAACAATTAATAATTAATCATTTGTTTTCGAAATTAGGGGGGAAGAGGTTGTTAGCAGTGGCATTATAGCTATAAATGCAGCATGTCCTGTCGCCCCTGATAACAATCATGATCAATTCCTGATAAATTCGCTATGATGGCCTAACTCACTTATCTCATCATCCTCTACTGGCGTTTTGACAACAGGAAGATGATGGGATGGGATCCCGGTAGAGGAACTGGGAACATTATTTCATATATGTACATTTATTTAAAAATAATATAAGACCATTTAACTATTACACAAATTACAGGAATTGCGAATGAAATGCCATAGAGATGGCATTTATTTCATTATTTTTAATATATATTTGCAACCAAGTTTAAAGTTTAGTCTTAGATTATTAATATATACCTACCTTAATTTCCTTAACACCATCTCCATTTAAAGCTGATACTAAAAACACGTCAGAAAAGTTTGCAAATCCCCTTTGGATTTTTTTATTTCTGCTTTCTTTTTCTGTGCCAGGTATTGGTTTACCGGCAATACGACCATTTGTCAAGTTTTTTATTGTGCTTAACAATTGCCTTTTTGATTTTAATTTATCAATCTAAAACAATAAAAAAGTCATATTGTTAATCTTTACATACAACAATATCGTGACGCGGCGATAACTGTCTGTTTGTGTGTTAAGCCACCCTGTAAAAATCTCTGCTGGAACAACACTGAATTTTTTACAGAACATATCAACATGTAGGATATATGAACTTAGGAGTAATGTTGTCAAAGAGCGTAATGAATTTCATGAAAATTTTCAATATGCCTACAGAATAAGTTTTTGTAATGTAATAAGAACTGTAAATTCATAAGGTTAGTACTTACCATAATGGTGAGATTTTTATTTTAGTGGATGATAATGGAATGGTGCACCCGCCTGCGCTAACGGCTGGCGGGGCACCAGTGGAGGATGATCAGATGAACATGAAGTCAGATCAGTTAGGCCAACGTGACAAATTCACTGGGAATTTATCACGATGGTTTCCAGGGGGAACCGCGTGGAGGTCGACCTGACATGGTACATTGCTAGCAATGGGATCATTAGTCCACATTACTAACAATCCCCTCCCCCCTGGTGAGATACATTTTTTTTATGGATGATAATGAATGGTGCACCCGTCTGCGCTAACGGTTTACGCTGGCGAGGCACCAGTGGAGGATGATAAGATGAACATGAGGTGAGGTCAGTTAGCCCATCGTAACAAATTCACTAAGAATTTATCACGATGGTTTCCAGGGGGAACCGTGTGGAGGTCAACCTGACATGGTATATTGCTAGCAATGAGATTATCAATCCACATTATTAACAATCTACTTTCCCCCTGGTGAGATACATTTGATTCATGTAAACAGAAAAATATTAGTAAGACTACACAAGACATTAAAATCAGGGGCAATATTGAAGCAGTGATGATCAGGATAAAATTTTCGTATATACACTACACACTAGACAATTTAGGAAGACATCCAAAGCTCTCTTTTATTAATTCTTTAATTCTCTCCACTACTTCCTATTTTACTGATATTTTCCACAGATTTAGTGTCATGTGTAGGTGATTTTACTGTAGGAAACTGTGTAAAAAAACTGAATAGGCACTTCACCATCATACTAATTAAAATGAATTAATAAATCAATGAATAGCAAAATGTTAACTACTACTATCTCACACATATAATGACAATAAGTAATCTCTTTATTTATTACTTGTGTAGCAGGCAGTGGGTATATTCTGGTATGATGAATATGTGAAAATTATATCTTGAAACTATTGTTTGTTCAAAATAAAAAAAACTATGATAATATGATTTTTATGAAAGCAATAACTACCTTATTCAAAATTAAAAAGCTTGGTATATTCTTGACTCCTTGTAACATATCAGTTACTTGGTGGTGAAGACTATCTCTACTGTAATAATTTGAAACATCCTGGACTACACCAATAACATCTGCACAGTTAAGGCTTTTGTGGTATGCTCCAATCATAGAAGCTGGTAACTTATATCTGGAAATATAAAACAAATAATTAATATATTTGCCTAGTATATAGTAAGTCCCTATATGTTAATATTCAGGAATATCAATGCATGAGAAGTACCTAGATTGTTAATATGTATTATCTAAGATCTGTGGTGCTGTATGTTGTGTATAGGTGATATTACAATTTTTTTTCATAATGTAAAGCTTCATATTATGTAAGTATATTAAAAAATACCACTTGCATTATCTGTCATATATGCTCAATGTAAAAAGCATGATCCAGAGCTGGTATAAATTTAAAACAATATAACATAAAAGCTAAAACAGCAGCATTAGTTTTCATTGTAATTATTCCATATAGATAGTCTTCCAGAAAAACTTGCTGATATGTGCTGTTGCAAACTATTTTTATACCTTGTTTATTATCTATGTTTTTTATAATATTATATTGTTTTTATATGACAAGTCATTATTACACAATATTTTATGACTATACCAGTGCCATTTTCTTTGCTCTTTGTATTGGTCTCCATCTTTCACAATGTCATTAACTGTTTCATATTGTTAGAAATATTGTATATTATCAAAAGTACACAAAGCATTATTGTGATGTATTTTGTTATTATTATGATTATTAAAGTATCTTACTTCATTTGCTCTTTTTCTGTAACAACTCCTGGAGTGTCCAGAAATACTATCTGTGTGCTATTCTCAATACACATAGCTCTAACTAGTTTGGTAGTTGTGTGCACTTTGTTGGATGCAGCACATATCTAGAATGTAAAAAAACACAAATTATGATTACAAATCAAAAGAAAAATATTGCATTCTAGCTAATGATCTATTGAATCAGGTGGAAATATCATTGTACTTAATTCCCAGAATAATTATCATTATAAGCAATGTTATATGACTGACTTCTTTCTCATACTTATTATCTTAAACTACTGTACCAATGGTGTGCACAATTCATTCTGACAAGACCAAACATACTACTGGGCAATAAATAAATTTTCAAATTTGGAGAATATTGTTTTTAATGGAAACTATAATTCCATTGCGAGCATACTCTGCTTGGTCGAGCATCATGCATAGCACTATGCCAGCTTTAAGAAAATACTAAACAAAATCTATAATAACGTTTTATACATATTGCCGACTATTAGGACTAAAAAGAAAAGTATAGCCACAAACCAAAATAAGATTAAGTATTCGTAATTCGATAATGAAAATATGCAACTTACCTTTCGTTCAACAATATTATTAACTAACGTACTTTTTCCAGAGTTAGGGGCTCCAATAATAGCTACATTTACAATTTTCCATAACAGATTTTCTTTTGCTTGTGTGGAATAAAATGTAGATGATAGAAAATTAACTTTATTGTATGATAATCGCAATATATACGTTCTGTTATACATTGTTTCCTTCGTCAGTATTTTAAAATTCAAAATTTTTATGCCATGTAATTGACACTAAATTCTAATCGAGACGTGAAGACAACTGAAAATAAACTATACAGGAATAAAAATATTGGTATTCATTTTTATAAATTATGTACTTCTACAGATAAATGAATACTACTAAATTAACAACAATGAATTGAATAATCTATAATAATATTGCTAACCTTGTTGCATGATTATACCTAAATGAGTAAGTAAAAAAGATAACAATATTTTTCAGTATGACTTAAAAATCCCACAGCCCTAATTGTCAATTTGAAGTCATGTATCTATCAATGTCATATTGTTAGCACCCAGCTGTGTCGTACTAAAACTACTATATACGATCTTTCTGATCTGGATTTGGCGATATCGCCTTGAAGAATTTTTGAATTTCATGGAAATACTACTGAAGATTAGGCTGTATGGTCTCGTACCTTTGCCTATCCACTTGTGGATAAAATATACCACTACTACTCTTTCTGATCTGCATTTTATTCTATATAAGATTATTCCGCCATCGCTTCAAGAACTATTCAAATGGACTGCAACTTTTAAACCAATTTACGACTTTATCATAGCAACTATCGGAGAATTATAAACATTTCAATTATGGACACATACAAGGACTTAAAACAAACTTATAATTAATGAAAAGATTTGGCGAAAATTCTTCAAGGCGATAGCCTTGAAGAATTTTTGAATTTCATGGAAATACTACTGAAGATTAGGCTGTATGGTCTCGTACCTTTGCCTATCCACTTGTGGATAAAATATACTACTACTACTACTACTGTTTTTATTATCTGTGTTTTGTTTTTCCTCTCAAAACTCTTTATCGAACAAACTGATAAAGTAATTTAATTATTTACTAAATTAATATTCTACTATCATTATAGAATTTATTTCACAGTGTTATTGCATTAAAGTCAAGTTTATTTTTATAAATTTCTCCATTTCCAAGACCGAGGACCTGTAGGATTATAAACGCCGGCATGATTTATTTTAGGTAAATAATATTGAATATTTTTCCAGAATAATTCACAAAGACAAATTTAAATTTATTACAAGTAATTGTAACTGTTATTTTTCTTCTTTGTTACAGAAATGTCAGAGATAAAGTATAAACAACAGATTTTAGCTGCTATAGATCATTTACGTTCACGTAAATCCCGCCCAGATATTAATAGAATTTGCAAATTTATGTTAAAGTGTTATAAAGTAGCACCAAAAGATACTAAGGCTGATCTAAAACGTTGCTTGAAAGAAAAAAGCATATTTAAAGTTGATTACAAAGATAATGTAAGCTATAGGAACGCTGCTAAGTGGCGGAAAAAATCAAGTCGGAATAGCGGTAAGTTTTATTTTGTAACATATTATGTAAAAATATGCCCATTGTAATTAAACTAGATGATTTTTTTTCTATCATAGCCATATAACCATTATAATTTATTGTATTCTGTATTAATAGATTTTAATGATTTGGTAATTGCTGTTATCTTTAGCAGTTGCATTTCCTATTATATTTCAAATTATTAGTGTTTTAAAATATTCTGAAAGATCATACATAAAAAAATATATCCTACAGTATATGATAATTGCAAAGAAAATAAAAATCTAATTATGCTAATAGCATTTTGCAAAATAGCTTACTACATTTTAATAGGAATATTTAATATTAAAGAATAAAATTATCTTATATATCTTTTTATTTTATGATAAGATCCCATTGTTCTTTAATATTATAAGATATGACATATATATAATTACTCTGGCAAATTAAAACAATCATACCAGATGACTTTATTTCCCATTCACAGAATTTAAATTTTCTCACAAATAACATTAAAACATGCTAGATACATTTACATTCCTACAAAGTGTGTGTTGGTATACAAGTGGGGTGACTATACCTTAAAGATGGGAAGGTCCTTTTTTTATCAATATATAAAAACATTTTTTAAATTAAAACCAAAGAAATGATTAAATAATTAAAAAGCCTTTAATATGAATTAAAAATAATATGAATTAAAAATGGTATCAATCAAATCTTGATTAATTCTTCTTCCCATTATGCTACCTTTTTCCACATGGTAATCAAAGTCATCTGTATAATTTTCTAACTTTTTAACAAGTTTTTATTTAGATTTTTTACCCTACATTTAAAATATGTGAATAACAATATTTATATTTAAATTCTAGTTTTGTGCTCCTGCTTCATGCTTGCTTATAAACAGGTATATCATTGAGGTACTGAGATAACATTATCTAAGTTATTTTAAACATTATTTTTGTATGTATTGTCACTACATATAACATATGTATTTGAACACTAAAGAATATTTATTTGGACATTCCACATTATAATTTAAATGAATATGTTTTATTCATTTCCTTGATACAAGAATCTATTTTAATTAGATTTCAAGTTTCTTGTTATTACTTAGAATAAATGTACATTATACTTTTCTGTATTTTGGCTCAGTTAGACATTTTCTATAGATGATGATATTTCATATATTTTTTTTATATAAAAAAATGTTTTGTGTAAACAGACAGAGAGAGTCTATATATAGTTATAAAAGTGTTAGCATATATGTTTTTCATTTACCATCTTAATATAAGCAAACCTTTTTCCTTTCCTATAACTTTTCCCTCACACTATCACAGTTCACAGTTAAAATTCATTTTACAGAAATGGCAAATTCATCAGCAACAAGTGAAAGAAGAATAATTACATCTGCAATTGCTACTCTTATATATCAAGACCAAAGCTATTTAGAAAATGGCATAGCATTTGAAGATCTTGTCAGAGCTGCAGCATCTCAAGAATCCAAGTATTCAAAGAAAGAACTTGAAAATATAATTAACAAGGAGTTGTCTTCGGGCAGCCTGGTAAAACTACATAATGGAAATTTAGCCCTTGGTCCTGCAGACCATGATGGTGACAGCTCAGACAGCTTTAAATTTGAGTACAGTGTAGATTCTAATACAAAGGTAACCCTGACATATACTTTATTTGTTACACTATAGCAATAATAAATAATCTATTTATCAGAATTTTCATGTATCTCTTGTTCTATAAATAAAAGATATGTTAAATTGGTAAAATATTTTTTGAGTATGTCTATTAAAAGACAAAAAATGAAATTGACCTTACTCCTTATAATACTAGTTTGGATTTAGGATTGTTGATAAACTATTAGACCATATATATAAAAAAATAATATAATTTATGTTTGCAGATGACTTCCTCAGCCAATTCATCATGTCGTTCGTCACCTCAACGAATGAGAGGAAGACCTAAAAAGCGTGGTGGTGGCACTAGCAATGGATTAAACATTGTTACAACACGCAACTCAGCAGTTCGTGTTGGCGAAAGACGAAAAATGGCTAAGAAAGTCTTTGATCCCTCAGATAATAATGTACCCAGCAAACGTAAAAGAGGTAGACCTGTAGGCTCACTTAACAAAAGCACAATAAAAAAACGTTTGTTGGGTGCTGGTAATCAGCAAAAACCAGACAAGGAAGGTACTCCATTATCTGAAAGTCAACTGTCTGTAGATGGAAGTGCTGATGAATTAGAACAAGATGAACCAATGCCTCATGAGACTTCAGGAGTTTGCTCTGTATGCCACATTCAAAAACCTAGGGGTTCTAATGATAGACTGGTTGAATGCCGTGATTGTAACAATAAAGCTCACTTAAGCTGTCTGCAGTCTGGTTCTGGAATATTAAAACCTCGCCCCGATAATACATGGCAATGTCCACATTGCAAGACCTGTCTTGTTTGTTGTGAAACTAATGATGCTGTAAGTTAAATATTTATATATTATTTTAATGTCATGAACTGTATACCAAGTTCCTTGTATCCATATCATACATTCAATACTTCTATACATATTCAATTTTAATTAGGACAAAACATTTAGGTAGTCTATGTATTAATTTTCACTATTAGTATATATGAACAATTTGTTATTCCAGGGGATACTAACAGTCTGCAGTATATGCTCAGATGCTTATCATGCTTTATGCCATACTCCAAGAATACCAGAACGATTAAAAGCCTGGGACCAATGGGAGTGCAACAACTGCCTTAAATCGCGACCTGTACTAATGGGATCACCTGGAATCATACCTGGTATTGAATATGAATCACATAATTCACCTATGATAGATCCATTTTTAAAACCTCATGAAATGGATAGGGCGCAATCAAAATTAGGAGATCTACCAATAGATCCAAGCATACCAGATATAACAAACTGGACTACTGAAGATGTATATGAATATTTTATGACAAATTTTCCAGAAGCTGCTCCAATTTTAAAAGAACAGGTAATTTAATTATTTTTATAAACATATTATTGACGGGCTCCGTTTAGCACAATGTTTTACTTCCGATAGCCGTGGGTCGATTCTAGAAACATTTGTATTCATGATTATATTTGTTTGTATCAGTCTCAGTGTTTTCTACGTCATCATTGCCTTGCATTTATCCCATTAATTGGGGTCGGCGCAGTACGTCATTCTCTTCCACTGCTCTCTATCGATCGTCACAATATTATGTATTACAAAAATTATGTGTCTTTAGCTTAGTTTTTTTCTTTAGGCTGACAGTATGCATGACAAAACATAATGGTATGGATAATATTATAAATCTAAAATATTATTTTAAACTAGCCGTACTCGCGACTTAACGCGCGCGTCCGCGTGGAATTTAACTTTATATTTCTAAAATAAAAGTAGCCTATAATACTCCTCATTACATCAGTTACAGTCAAAATCGGACCAGGCATTTCAGAGATTAGCCGAACAAACAGACAAAATTTGTAAAAAAAATGTTATTTTGCTGTATGTACCGTATTTATATTATTATATGCATGTAGTAAAAAGCGGTTATTTCAATATTACAAACAGGCTCCAATTTTATTGATATGTATAGATAAATACTATTTTCAAAAAAACTTTATTTTCAATACAAATATCAAGACTGAATATTGGAGGACTCCTAATGATGAGTTTTTGATGAGCAAGATGTGTTTAATACACATGAGAGATATAAAACTCATTTAAAACGTCATTCTAATAATTTTATAGTCATATTTTTAATTAGACGAAGTCAACTGACGTTTACTGTGTTGTCAGTATTTGATGAAATAAAAATAGTGTTGTGACAAAGTGAATCATTGAAAAAACTCCTGAATTAATGGAATTGCCTCGATTGTCTAGTGAATAGTTAGTGTGCCGAACTGCCGATATCGGGTACGGGGTTTGAATTTTAGCCGTGCTTTATACATACCAACGAGTTTACGACGATTATGTTCCTATTGTATCTACCTATACTGAATACCGAGTATTTTAAACAAACAAAAATTGCGTAAAACTTTTAAGACTGTTAATTACAATTCATAATGTAATTGAAACTATAGATGTACAAAATATAACAATATATAACATAATATAGTTAGGTAATAAAAATAAAAAACTGCGCTTATTACAAAATTTGTATTTATTCATCATCAGATAAAAAAATCATTGTCGCTTTCAGTGACATTAATTATAAATCTGTCTAAAAATTGATAATAATTTATCTTTGAAACAGTGTTTCGCTCCACGTTTCTCGGGAGACTTAAATTGTTCACTTTGTATTATTTTAATACATTGTAGACTGAGGTCATACCAATTCCCAAAATGTCAGCTGTTTTCGAAATACATTTGTTTTTTTGGGAGCCTCAATAGGTAATTAATACTTTCTCAAATACGTATTTGTAGACGATATCATAAGTTTTTCGGTAACGTCTTTCTTGGAGACAATTGGCTTGACGTGCTTATTATCCATATTGTTTGTATGAAACAATATAGTAAATATACAAAATACCCAACAATTACCACAAACACAACATGAGGAAAAACTTAATAAAAAAGCGTGAGCGCAAAAAAAAACATTGGTGCTCTCAGACCAGAGGTTAGAAGCCGAATTACGAACAAAATGGCGACAGACGCTCGCGACGTTGATTTGTGTTGGCACTAGTAGCCGCGCGCTTTGTAATAAGCCGTCAAAAAACTGATTGTAGTTACTAGTAACTTATATCAGAGCACTTTTATACAATTTTCTTTTGTAGTTTGTAATGATTAACTATTCACACTCATTGTTCATTCATCTAACTGAGAACTGAACGCATCACTATTACTTTAAATATGGCAACATTATTTTACAATGTGACATTAGCTACTGTCAGCTAGCTTCGTCTAATTAAAAATACGACTATAGTCCATTATTTGATGTCGAAAGGTGTGGTGTATCGACGCTACCGTGGCAGATTGCCGTCTTCAGTGCCGTGATCACACAGACAATATTATTGTATTAGTTTTTAAATATTATATTATATGTATGTTAGTCTATAAGGTATTTATAATATGGGCCTAGTTGCCTGAAATAAATGAATAAATAAATAAATAAAATAAAAAAAATATTATATTTTTTCTACACTTCTATGTAGTTCAAGATGACAAGCATAATTTTAATATTTTATTTTCAGGAATTTGATGGGCAAGCCTTAAACATGGCGCGGCGAGCAGACATAGTAATAGGTTTAGGTCTTCCGCTTGGCCCAGGACTTGCATTATATCGTATTGTTGTGAAATTGCAAACAAGAAAAGATGATTGGACTATGTGCTGGGGTTAACTTAATATTGTTATTAGAGAATTAAGGAAAAACTTATCTATTTTATATGCTTACAAATAAAATGCTTTCATCCTGTCAGATACTAATTCTTACATTTTATTCATGTTGGACATTTTAAGTACTTATAAATCTTTTACAATTGATTTTAATTACAGTTTTTAACAATAGATAGAGTGATTCAAGAAGAACATTTAAATGTATAATACATGTACACCCATTTCAGGCAAGGTCTAGTATGGTACATAAATACAGAATTATTCATTTGTTAAATTTACCTAAATGACTCATCATAATCAGTATGTAGTTTCATCAAATTATGGAAGAAGTAACTACTTAAAAAAACTGAATTAAACCCATAAGTGAGTAAGTTTACTCACTGTCATAATAGATAAATAATAAAATACTAGGAAATGTTTCCCACACTGTTGTGTGTTGGATTTATCACATTGTGTAATGCAATTGGAATAGTAGTAAATGAAAATAAGCCTTTTCAAATCCATTTTAAACTGTAATCAATATTTACATTAAAATAATTCCAGTGGCACAGATCTTCTAAGTCAATGTTGATCATAATGTTTCATATAAGACAAAAATATATTGAACACCATTGTTGCTATATTAATGTAAAATACTCTGTATTGTGTAGGTAAATAATAGAAATTGACAAACTGTACTGGAGGCCAGAATAAGCAATCTCCCTGAAAATAATATGATTAGTGATGTAATAACAATACAACTAGTTTATACAATAAATATTTATAAATTATTTCTGCATGTAACTATATTTTGTCAATCGAGTCAGTGTAGAACACAAAGGTTTTGTTTGTTAATTGAATGGTTTTCAGTCAATTGACCAAAACAAAGTCAGCATTTAAAGAACAAGAAACATGATATTTTGTTTGTATTTTTTATACAAACTTAGGTAATAACCAACAACAAAAATCTCGTCACAATAAGTTCAGAATTAACATGATAAGAAATTTCATTAATAAAATATTTAAGAGATTTTAATGAAAAAAGAAAGTATACTGTTTTAAGTTTGACGCGGTCATTATTTATAAGTATAATTAGTAAACCACGGAATCTTACCACATTTTATTTTTATTGAGTTTCTGATATTTCGACAGTGTTTCAACCGCCATGAACACAGGTAAACTGAAGAACAGCAGGTAGAAGGTAAATAAATCTTTTATGGGCACACATATTCGTCTTCACATGTCTTCATTTAACGTGATGAGATCCCGTTATTTACTAATTATACTTATAAAAAGAAAGGACTCACCATATATACATATTTAATTTTATTTACAATTTCTGTTGTACTCTGTTCTATAGATTTCTTTTCTAACCAACCCATTCCATAAAAAAAGCAAATTATGGTTGCTGGTGATGCAAAGAATTGATCACAGAGTATTTTCTTGAAGACTGTTTTAATATCCGCCTTAGGTAAGACTTTATCCAAATAAATATAATAAAAATGATGTAATGGTCCCATTAAGGTGCCAACAGTAAACATCCTTGCTGAAAATGATTATGTAGATTAGGAGAAATATATGAAGAGGAGAATAGATTAGGAGAAATAAAACCATAATTAAGTAATTAATAATATTGATGACATACCCATACGTCCCCAATTATATCTCTCTGTAAGAATACTGGACCGATATTCAATTTCTTGTTGGACTAAGTCACCAATGGCCATAAACCCTCCGGAGGTAATACTATTAGTAAACAACAAATTTTTCTTAAAAAAAAATTGAACTCCACGACGAAAAGTTGAATAAGATTTGCCTTGAAACCTTATCAGAGGTGATGTCTGTCTTATCATTAAACAACTCTTAAAGAACATGACTATAAAACAACCTGAAAAATAAAAAAAAATGAAATACTAAATTAAAATTTTAACAACTATTTTAAAACATAATTGTTATTCTTACTGTTAAAAAATCATTCAAATAACAAGAAACAAATTGAAAAGTGCGCCCTAGCGCATATAATGGCCTATAATTTATTTATTTTGATTTAAACTTGACCTTGGATTTGACAACCATTTCCACACAGAGCACTTTTTTGTACTGCCGTCATTGTCATTGTTTTTTAAAGTAGCACTGACAGTTCGCAGTCTCACCGTCATTCTTAGAGAAGTGCAAACTCGTAACAAACGTAACTCGAGGAAGAAACTGTTTTCTTTTTTCGTTTTTAGAACTTTTCCAATGTTGGCTGCAGCTTAACAGCTTCATTGAACTATAGAGGGCGAACAGAAATCGCTCCAAATACGGTTGAAGGACTTATGGATCGTATGCTTGGCTTGGCAAGTCAACTCCTATTTGAGTATTTTTCAACTCATTTTGTAAAGAATTTAGGCACGTGTTATGCCTAAATTCTCCTTCGCACATTGAGCCAACCCTTGGGATTCTTAGACGAGAAAGCGCTACTTGTTGAACTTTGACAACAAAAATAAAAAAACTGAACCACTTGCACCCTACTTGAGAAGAAATCATATGAACTGACAGACTGTCAATTTTCATGTCATGTCAATCAGTCAGAAATTTTCTTGTTTGTTTGGGACAAAGAAAGAGTGAAATTGCATTAGCATAGCATAGTTTGAGAAAAAATATATACATAGTAATCAATTGTAATAGTATGGGATTGATTGTATCGGACATGTTATGAATAATTGATTCTTTATAACTCTTACTGCGAAGATGGGACAATTTGGTGAACACTTGGATTTTTCCGGCCTATTTAAATTGGACGTTTTATTACATCTTGATATTGATACGTATAGTTTCTACGAAGTGGGACTAAACAAACACTTCGCATTTTCTAGTGGCAAAGAGTTGGTATTTATGTACATTAATGCTCGAGGTGAACGGTTTCAGAATAATTATGATTGGGATTTTTTTGATAATCCTATTCATTCTATGTGTTTCGAACCCAGCGGTACATGGCTTTTATTATTAAGCGATCATAAAGTATTGCTCATTCCTTTCTTGCCGATATTTGTACCAGAAAATACATTTGATTGCAAATGGTCGTTATCTAGTGTAACTGTTTTGCCTTTCGAAAGTAATCCAAAACCTTCATCAGTTGTTTGGTGGTTGACAAAGGAGTCTCAGAATATAATAATTGTTGGTTCGAAGGTAAGATTATGACTTAAGTTTACTAGCTATAAAAAGTGTAAAGAAGAAAAAGTATGATTGTTTGTACAACACCATAAACTGACAACAGTAAGAACATTTAATGGCAATATAATGTGATAACCTCAGTTGTGTAATGTCATAGCACAGCATCTTACTTTTGATAGTTGCAGGTTCAATTCCTCACATTATTCAGTCATTTGTATTCATGTTGTCTGTTTTTTTATATGTGGCTTATTCTGTGTAAAATGGATAGGGCTGTGCGAATCATGTTTTCTTTTAAATAGTCTAGCTTTATTTACCCATACATATATCTTTGCTGGACTTTAAGGCTACCAGTAATAGATCTGGAGAGCCACAATGGATGTTTGATATTATAAAAAGATCCCACAAGCCTAGCGTGTACTGATGATAATTCAAGTAACTCTGTAGTCTTAGTGTATGTGCATTTTATATTCCTAAAAGTAATGTTTACAAATATTTTTTTTTTTAGTAACTGCCACAACAGATAGGTTGATTTCAGCTGAGTGGGTTGTTTGTAAAGTTCAAAAGACCATCTGGGTTGAGATTGGAAGCAAAATTTTTTAATATTCATTTTTGATTATTTGTAAGTTAATTTATGTGAAGGTACTTATGCAATAATTGCATAAGAACCCTCACATAAATTAACTTAATAATAATCAAATAACACTGTTCATATCTGGGTGTCAGGGCAGTTAATGTGGGAAAATGTTATTTATATTACATAATAATATGTTTAGATACAAACATGTGTAGGCATTAAGTCAATATACATATGTTTAAAATAAATGTAATGAACTGCTATGCAAAATGATTTTGTACAAAAATCATGTACTTATTCCTATTTTCCTGACTAGTCTCACATTTAATGGACATTATTTAAGAATAAAATACCATGATAGTCATTGTATTTTATTCTTTATACAAATATTAAAATATATGTAAATTTAATTAGTCACCCCCTCTTATGCATCAATCAATGGGTGGTACTTTCCGTAGGAATAGTATTAAATGTGACAGAGAATCTCCTATATATTTTTAATATTGCATAACAAAACAAAAAGATACAAATTTGGAGTTGATTATCTTAATGTGTGCCATAAAACCTTTGTTTTTGCTTTTTATATTTTTAATTTAATTGGATTGTATTTAACTTTTAGTCAGGTGCAATAAGATTTTATTCCTTGGAGTCCCAGGAAACCATTGCAGAATGCAAGGTGTCAAGTGAAATTATTGACTTGCAGATGTGTTTTGATGACTCATTAGATCTGTTAGCACTTTTGGTAAGCACTTTTATTTATATTGTAGGGGGATGCTGATTGGATTTCACTTAATCAAGATACCTATATAAGATCATACTACAATTTGAAGTTAGTAATACACGACAGAAATGAAAACTATTGTTATACTGTATATTGTATTGTCTAATTATATTTACAAAATTAATTTTAATATTGACATCAAAAACCCATACAGGGTAGTCATTAAATTTAAATTAGTACACATTGATTTAGGTTTATGTATCATTACAGATATCTAATGGTAAATCTCAACAATGGAAGCTAGTGCTAGAACACAGATCATTTGGGTACAATTGGTTGCAGCAAACACGAGCTCAAATAGACAAAGACAAGAAAGACAGTTTTATGTCTTTCATTAAACAGTTGTCTAAAGATAAAATAACATTTTTCATTCAAGGATCTAAAGGTATTTTTATAATTTATTAAATTTAAAATTATGATACATATTGCATACATTCCCATAATTTCAATTGATGGACAGTTTTAAAATTGTCATCCTCATGCTTTATTATAACTAACATCAATAATTTTGATTGATTGGTTTATTTAAATGCTTTATTTATTTACAATTTTTAATTATAATTGATTCACTGTATTTAGAGAAAATATATGTAGTGTAAAATTTTACTGAGCAGTAACTTTATTCATCTATACATAATTGAGTTACCCAAGACACCCCCATAATTATTAATTAATATTACTCTCAAAAAGTTCAGCTATATAGTGTTGATTTAATTAATTATTTACAGGGCATGTGTAAATGTTTAGAAAACATATTTTATTTATTCAAAATATTAAATTAATTTTGATTGTAACCAAAGTTTTGCTGAAGTCTCATTGAAGGGCTGATTAACATTTTTAATTATTAGTAATTGATTTGTTTAGTTAATAAAACATTTATATTTTCAGATGATAATAAGACACAAACAGTCGAACATGCTTTGAAACCTACTGAATATTTACCATTGTTTCGTAAAGACTCCAACAACTGGGCCCTCACAGCCCAATATGTAAATGGAAGACATTTCCTAACTGCATTTGAATTGAATGAAGGCACTTTAATAGTAAGTTTTGCGTGTTTGCTTTTTTTATGGAGACCTTATATTATACTTAACTTCTGTTTTCTGTAGGCATTGATATAAGACTTCATAACGAATGCTCAAACTGTTTAAACTTTTTTTGTAGCTTGAAAGCCCTGAAGAACATACACCATCTAGAACTTTTAGACCTCGCATAAAGAAAGATGGCTTATATATACAGGGCTTATGGTCTCAAAGACTCATTTATCTTCTGAAAAAAAATCAGTTGGAGATTCACAGTGCAAGCTATTCTGTAATTCAGGTACTAAGCTTACTAAATAAATACTTTCTCTTAAATAGAAATAGAAATAGAAATAATCTTTATTCAAATAAACTCATTACAAGCACTTTTGAATAGTCATATTTTGATTCTACCACTCATTCGGAATGCAGATTCATCACAAGAAGAATGAGCAAGAAACTTGTGTGTTGCTCTTTTTGATAGATGTTTTTTTATATAAATAATTACAGTGTAACAAGTAAGAGGCATGCGACAATCAACATAGAAATCGCTACGCACTCATTATTAGTGTAATCAGATAATATTGTCAGTGCTATGTATTTAAAATTTTTCTACAAAAACATTATTATCGTTAACGAATTCTTCAATTTTATAGTAAGCTTTTTTGCAAAGGAAGTGTTTTATTTGACATTTAAATCTTTTTTTCTGGCAGATTTATAACAGACTCTGGTATTTTATTGTAAATACTTACGCAATTGCCATAAAACGAATTACTAACTTTAGCCAAACGACATTTAGGTAAAATCAGTTTGTTATTGTTACGTAAGCTTTTATTAGTGCAATCACTAACTCTTTTGAAACTGTCTATATTCTTCCTGGCGTACATGATGTTTTCATAAATATATTGAGAAGCAACGGTGAGGATATTTGATTCCTTAAAGCACTCTCGCAAAGACTCCCTGGAACCCATGCTATAAATGGAGCGAATGGCCCTCTTTTGTAAAATAAATATTGTATTTATATCAGCTGCTTTGCCCCATAACAAAATACCATACGACATAATGCTATGGAAATAGCTAAAGTACACAAGTTTAGCCGTTGCCACGTCTGTTAATTGTCTAATTCTTCTTACCGCATAAGCGGCAGAACTAAGTCGACTCGCTAATTTAGTAATATGGGCACCCCATTGCAACTTGGAATCTAATGTGATACCTAGAAATACAGTATCATCCACAAAATTAATAGGTTTATTGTCCAACATGATTTTTGAATCTACCGGCCTTACATTGGGGAGAGTAAATTTGATACATTTAGTAACATATTATTAGCCGTAAACCATTTTAAAACATAAGAAAGAGCACCGTTTA